CACACACACAAACACACTCTCACACACACACACACACACACACACACTCACACACCGACACACACACACACACACAGATTTTAAGAGAGACACGGAGATTTAAGTGTACAGACCTACTTTTGATTTATTAATGCAAATTTTGGCAAATTCCGTGACATTCTGCAGAAAATTCCGTTTTTATTTCTGGATTCCGTGATTCCGTCCATGTTTTCTGCATCATGGAAATCATAGAGCACTAGCACCGTGACCCCATAATGTTTGTGAAACATCTTGATAATCAATGTGATTGTCTGCTAGGACACCTGTGTGGATGTGAGAAGAACAGACTTTTAAAAAACCATTAAAAATGGCTGATTCAAAGACAAAAGTTATGAAAAGTGGAAAAAAGATCCTATAGCATTTCAGATGCAGAAACTTGATTTGAAATTCAGACTTTTTACATTTGACTTGTGTCTCCAAACACATTTTGGTCGCACTGTATGTGAACAGGTGGTGTAGGTACAGCTGGCACAGGATCACTCTGGAAGCGTGTTTATTTGTGTATGCCTGACAGTCAAGACAGTTTATCCTCACCCACAGCGCCGGAGGCTTTAAATACATCCATAATTATATTCATAAATGAAGCAGACAATATACCAGCCAAAAGGATTCCCTCCTCATGCTTTCCTATTTAGCCTTGATTCAAAGAACCTGAGCACATTTCGAATAAACAGAGAGACTTATGTATACTGGACTACACTGCGCCCCTTTATTGTGTGGTGGCACATAGTGGCTTTGCCGCTCTAAAGATGGAAACTATTAGACAGAAAATATGTGGTATTAAAATAAGGTCAACAGAAAGATGACAATTAGTTTGTGCTCCATCTGCATCACTCAGCCATAAACGAATATACACATAACTTATTATTATTTGATGCATTTATTAGTTCTTCAAATCAACTGCCCTGACTAACATGAGGCCACTTGTGATTGCTTTTTAGCTCACATATCAGTACAGATGTTGAATTTACCAGCGGGGCTAAAGTTAAAATATAACATCCATAAAAATTTTAAAAAGCTTCTTTTTTTTGTGTGTGTATTCTGATATGCATTAAATCTGTCAAATGCATGAGAAATGTGCAAAAAAATAGTAGTTAGTCAGTAATAGAGGTGTGACTCTTCAAGTATCTGTACTTTATTGGAGTATTTCTATTTTGAGAAACGTTTACCTCATTCCAAAGCATACTATTGTACATATTGCGTCACTACATTTCTTAAAAACATGTTGTTCCTTATTATTTTGAACTGATTTTTTTCCCTCACTTGTTTGCACACAAGTATCAGTAACCTAAAGTGATATATTAATATATTTAATGTTTTGACAGGCCATGTCTAGATATTTTGATTATATAAAATATACAATATAAAATTACTAAATAAAAAAGTATATAAGTTAAAGTTTACAAAATAAGCATTCATTGATAAGTACTTTTTATTTTTAATAAGCAAGTACATAAAAAAATTAAATGCTTTTGTACTTTTACTCAAGTAAAATTGAAAAGTAGTACTTAATGCTTTCAATGGAGTAATAATTTATTAGTGTATCTGTGTTTTTACCTGTTGGAGTGTAAGGTATCTTCTCTTGTCCTCCCATGTCTCCTCTGTTCTCGTCTCAGGACACATTCTTGCCTCACGTGGAGTGCGGGACGATCACTCTTATTGGCGCCACCACAGAGAACCCGTCCTTCCAGGTCAACAGCGCGCTACTGAGCCGCTGCAGGGTTCTGGTTCTGGAACGGCTGTCGGTGGAAGCGATGGGCTCGATCCTGCGCCGGGCTGTAGACTTTCTGGGACTGCAGGTGTTGAACGGGGATGCGGTGGAGCGGGACGCTTCAGAGATCTGCTCAGAGTAAGTGTCAGTCGTGCCCTTGTTATCCCGGTGGGCCTGAGACGGCCCATCCTCTGACTTCACTGCCTCATTTTGATGATTTATTAGTGGTTTGGATTGGTAAGTAGGACAAACGGTTGTCTCTCAGCCCGGCCTCGAGTGGACCAGCTGTGAAGTGCTGCAGATCAGGTTTTAGGGCCCTCAGGAGTCCTGTAAACACAAACGTGTTGAGTTTCGCTGAACCGAACGCTCTCGTTGTTTTATGAGTTTTCTCAGTCTGAAGAACAGCATGTGACTTACTCAAGAGAATAAAATAAGACAGGGTTGAAAATATCAATCTGTGGTGTTTTCAAGTGATGCTTGAACAAAACGTCACCAAGAAGTATCTGTATCATGCATCACATCCAATAAATCACAATAAGCTTTGTGTTCTGTTACTTATGATATGAAACTAAGTCTCAGCTTTTAAATTCTGTCAATTGCATTACAAAATTCAAAGAATAAATACCGCTTCACTGCTGTTTAATGTGGCGTTATAGATTGCTATAGCTCCGTAGTTCAAGCGGCACATGGAGCGAACATCTCTTCATCTTTACTACTAGTTATAGCACGAAATGAACATGAATAAACATCAGAAGGTATGTTTAAAGAAATAACAACTTACTAAAATGAATCATGTCTCATGTATTCACTCAATCAGTGTTTGATGTAATGCAGGGATTTCCAAACATTTTTGTCAGCCGAACCCTTTTGACTTGAAATATTTACTTGAAATATCTCTGAGGACGTTCATAATTCAATAATTTAACAACACAGTTGCATATTTACAGTTCAGTGACGCTTAATGTTATATTTGCAGCAGCAATATTTCTTACATGCTCACGGCAGCATGTTGTGGATGTATTGGCAGTAGCGTAGCAGATCTATTCCGCCAAGACCAAATACATTAACATTACCATGCCAATCCCTCCGAGAGCTGTCATGACAAATATATAGTTTAATTATATTGTACATTTCTTGATTATTTTGTGTATTTCTTAACATAAGACACTCTGATGAGTTGAGCAGGCCTGAGCTCAGTGTGCCGTCTGTGTTCAGATCTCAGGTGTGTATCGAGCAGAAGGCGCTGGACATGGTGGCGCACCTGTGTGACGGAGACGCTCGAGCCGCTCTCAACGGTCTGCAGCTGGCGGTGCAGGCGTGTGTGGCGCAGGTGCGCACCGCTTCATCCAAACCCCACGCCGGCCCGCAGCCAATAACAGTGCGCGAGCAGCACATTAAAGAAGGACTTCAGAGATCACACATCCTTTATGATAGAGCAGGTGTGTCCTGTTTGCACTCAAGTCATCTGTCTATTTAATATAGCACAGTTATTGTGACTCACCTGTAACAAAAGATGACCTGTTTTGTCAAACAGATCCACAGAATTCAAGTCTGGCCACTGAACAAGCTCTATGGCACTTTCCACAAATTAGAGTAAATTTGCAACCCAATTGTGGCATAGCTTTTAGGGTCTTGAATTTGTGCTTGTTGGATGTTTTTAGCTGAATAAAGTATTAATAAAGTATTTTGACATTAGCTAATTAGCTATGTATGTGACCACGGACCACAAAACCAGTCATAAGGGTAAATTTTCCGAACTTGAGATTTATATTATTTATAAGCTTTCCATTGATGTATGGTTTGTTATGATAGGGCAATATTTGGCTGAGATACAACTATTTGAAAATCTGGAATCTGAGGGTGCAAAAAAATCTAAATATTGAGAAAAAAGCTGTCCAAATTAAGTTCTTAGCAATGCATATTACTAATCAAAAATGAAGTTTTGATATATTGATAGTAGGAAATTTACACAATAACTTAATGGAACATGATCTTTACTTAATATCCTAATGATTTTTGGCATAAAAGAAAAATCTATAATTTTTACCCATGCAATGTATTTTTAGCTATTGCTACAAATATACCTACTTATGACTGCTTTTGTGCTCCAGGCTCACATATATAAACAGTTGTGCTCATAAATTTACATGCAGAATTGCAAAATGTTAATTTTAACAAAATAAGAGGGATTGCATGTTATTGTTTATTTAATACTGTCCTGAATAAGCAATTTCACATAACATATGTTTACATGTACTCCACAAGACAAAATAATAACTGAATTTATAAAAAAGGACCCCGTTCAAAAGTTTACATACCCTTGAATCTTAATACTGTATGTCATTTCCTGGATGATCCACGACTGTCTTTATATTTTGTGATAGTTGTTCATGAGTCCCTCGTTGGTCTTGAGCAGTTCAACTGCCTGCTATTCTTCAGAAAACCCCCCAGCTCCTGCACATTCTTTGGTTTTCCAGCATCTTCTGCACATTTGAACCCTTTCCAAAAGTGACTATGATTTTGAGATCCATCTTTTAACACCGAGGACAACTGAGGGACTCATGGATAACTATTACAAAAGGTGAAAACATGTACTGATGCTCAAGAAGGCCACACAATGCGTTAAGAGACGGGGGTGAGTTATTCAATGGAAAAACAAGTGCGTTAGCTTTTTTGAGGTAAGCTGCTGCAATTCTTTGCCACTGTAAACACTTACAAGATGCTGTTGAAAACTGTACATCAAGATGCAAGCAAACACCACTGTTTTTTGTTAAATGCTTAACAAATTGATTGTGTAATGCTCTTGTGCTATACTATGTCACATCCACAGTATATCTACAGTTAGTTTGGATTGTAAAATGTGACGTGTGTGTGTGTGTGTGTGTGTGTGTGTGTGTGTGTGTGTGTGTGTGTGTGTCACACACAGGTGAGGAGCACTATAACTGTATCTCAGCCCTGCACAAGTCAATGCGAGGCTCCGAGCCCAACGCTGCCCTCTACTGGCTCGCCAGAATGCTGGAGGGCGGTGAAGACCCGCTGTATGTGGCCCGCAGACTCGTCCGCTTCGCCAGCGAGGATATCGGTAAGCAGACGCTCCTTTTCAGTTCAACTTATTAACGGAGTTAGAGGGAAACGTTTCAACATTTTCCAAAACCACTGTTTTACCACAATAGAAACTTGATGATTAGTGTGTAATCCAAAAGTGAGCGTCTTGACAGACTAGATGTGTTGTGGACTCTCCTGAAGGTCTGGCAGACCCGGCGGCACTCTCTCAAGCCGTATCGGCGTTCCAGGCCTGCCACTTCATCGGCATGCCAGAGTGTGAGGTACCACACACACACACACACACACACACACACACACACACACACACACACACACACACACACACACACACCAGAGACACCCACGGCGCA